AATGGGTCTAGGCTGCCTGTCATTACTTGAGCCAACTAAGCAGAGACAGGGTTGAATCATATATGAACATTTATTCCAATCCTGCCAGCAGCATGAGAGAGCAGCAGCTCATCCACAAAAATCTGCTCTGCACCCCCCACAAGCCAGCTGCGTTGTGGGAAACTGTTTATTGCCTTTGTTAGGTTAGGTGGCTCAGGAGGCGGCGCAAGAAATAGAGTCCAGCGAATCAGAAAAGAAAGGAAAGGAAAAGGTTTATTCTGCGTCCCCGGGAGACCCACGTACCCCAAGGACAGGGCACGTGGATTCACGCCAACAGGGAGGGGGGCGCTTTTTTTATACTGCGGTTGGGTGAGGGGCAGGGACATGAGCTGAGGAATTCTCTGCTGCAGGGAATGGGCGGAATATTCAGGACGAAGTTCTTATCTGTGTGGGGGTATGTGAATTCAGGGAGAAGAAGCTGGTATCTGTGTCTGGCACCTTGATCTGTGAGAAATTCCAGGGGAAGTCCATTATCTTGTCATGTCTGCATGTATCCGATCCTGGGCTCTCTCCGACCTAACAGCCTTCACTATCTGATAAGCATAGACAGAGAACACCCTCCCCCCCCCCCCCCCCAAGTCTGGGTGCCTTTGAAGCCCCAGCAAAGGTCAGAGCGAGGCGCCACCTCTGTTTGTCCAGACAGTGGTAGCTGAAACTACTCCCCCATTTATTATTATGTAAATCCTTGCTGATGGGCTAGTCTGCTTGTTACTAGGGGGTCACCTGCCTAAGGGCTATGCTATGGGTATATCCCAGATCAATAAAAGCTTGGTGAAGCCTGAGCAAGGAGGAAGTCCTTAGGGACTTGCCGCCTGGTCCCCCAATATTGCAAAATTATCTCGTGTCTTTTTCTCTCATTTGCTGTGCGGCTCCTCTTTCAGATACCGAACCCTACTCCACGCAGAACGTGGAGGGAGTCTTACTCGACACTGCGTGTATAGGGTAGGACAAGGATTACATGGGGAAGTTGGGATGACAGGCCTGGGGAAGTAGGAGGCTGGGGTGGGACTCCATTGTTTGGGCAACAAGGTTGTTAATCTTTCCATGATTTTAGGCAGTTCTTGAGTGAGAATGGACCACATTCCAAGGTTGACTCCCAGGTCCCAGGGATGTGCGTACTACTCCCTGCCAGGTCAGAATGTCCTTTCTTTAACCAGAACAAGGCACTCATGGTTAATAGAGCATGATTACTATTTCCCATAACTGTACCTAGTCCGAAATACTCTATTTCTGCCCCTAACATTTCCTCCCCTTCTACAGCTCCTCTACTATACCCTTTGCTCTCTGAGCTTCGTTGTTTGGAGTTGCCCCCCCCCCCCCCCCCCCGCCGCCCTTCTTCCTTTCCCTTCTATATCCTCTGTATCTCCTCCACTACCATTCTCTACTGATCTAAGGGAAAATAGGAATAAAAAAGTAGACAAGGAGCCCTAGGTGGTTTGGCTGAGTGGATAGATTGTCAGCCTGCAGACTGAAGGGTCCCTAGTTGAGTCCGGTCAAAGATACATTGCCCGGTTGTGGGCTCGATCCCTAGTTGGGGGTGTGCAAGAGGCAGCCGATCAATGATTCTCTCTCATCATTGATGCTTCTATCTCTCTCTTCCTCTCCATTCCTCTCTGAAATCAGTAAAAATATATTTTTAAAAAGGTAGACAAGAATAATCTAGGAATTCTAGCAGCTCCCTTCAGGGAAAAGCCAGTCCCAGGCAGAGGGGACCCAGTGATTACATATATTCCTTGGACTAGAATAGAATTAAGAAATCTACCTACACATCTCCCCTATTTTCTCCAGGACTCTGATGGGTTCAAAAAGGAGTTTAATTTAACGATTAGAACATGTGAGCCTGGCTATTCTGACCTGTTCCAATGAACATACCTACTGGTTTCTGGGAGCAAAAGCAATAGAATTACTAAGTAGGGTTTGCTGGGAAACGTGCAGAGGAGTCTTTTTTTATTGTAGACAGTCAGGTCGCCTTAAGAAGGATTACAGAAAGCTGAAATGGGATTTAGGAAGGGAAGAGAAGCAGAAGCAAGCATATGGTTGCTCCAAGAACTCTGTGAGGGTGTTTGTCCTCCTCACTGGTAATTTAGGAGAAATTAAAATTACCATAAGAAGGAGAACTTACTAAGGCTCTTGTAGACACTGGGACTACGTTTTCTGTTCTGAACCCAACTTAGCTGCCTCCTCCCTCAGAGGAAAGCTTCTGTGCAAATGGTCGGAATGTCTAATCAACCAACGACTGTTTTTTTAAATAAGAACCTGTCCCCTTCCAACTAGGGATTGTTATGGGGCAATGCATAGTTTTGCTAAGCAAATCTGCCCCAATTCACCTGATAAGGCAAGATTTTCTTGAAACCAATTGCGGTCCTACAGTTAGACAGACATGAGCAGAGCAAGGACAATGGCCGGGTACAGCAGTCACCAGGCAGAAAGCCCCAGGTGCCCAGCAAAGGACAACTGTAGGGTGAGTGGCCTGTCCTCCCCTAGCACACCACTCACTGGTCCTGTGGTTGGACCCTGACTTTTCCTCCCTAGAGATAACGTCTGGGCCTCAGTTGTATTACAGCTCTAGGCCTAGAGAAACAGCAAAACCTATTGAGGTCTTCCCCTCGGTCCTCCCCTACAATCTCCACCCTTTAAACCCTTGGGAAGGAGGACCTGTGTGCCTCCCTCCTGGGAGCATGCCTATGCCCTTCCCTTCCTCCCCTGCCCCCCACCGGGCACCTTACCATTAGCCTCCTCACTCCCAAGCTCCAAGGGCCCTTCCTTTGCTTCTATATCGTGTGTTTCCTAAGCCCATTTCTTCTAGGAATTACTTCTTCCACCTCTGTGATTTTATTTTTTTATGTTTTTATTGATGAGAGAGAGAGAGAGAGAGAGAGAGAGAGAGAGAGAGAGAGAGAGAGAAACATCAATGATGAGAGAGAATCATTGATTGGCTGCCTCCTGCACGCCCCCTACTTGGGATAAAGCCCGCAACCCAGGCAAGTGCCCTGACTGGGAATCGAACTGTGACCTCCTAGTTCATGGGTTGACGCTCAACCAATGAGCCACACCGGCCGGGCTACCTCTGTGATTTTATAGATAAATGTACTCTTATAGTTTGAGTCTTGCCTCTGAATTCTTTCCTAGCCAGAACTTAAGTACTGAGGTTACTGAACCCAGGTCCAATCTGACTCCACTAGTCTAGTTCCTGGTGCTGTTTCCAGCCGCCTACAACACAATGATGTACAGGGTCTCAGAGCTACAAATAGGATAGTTATTCCCAGACATCCCGAGGTTCCACATCCACAGAACCTATTATCAGCCGTGCCTGTGAACGGTCAATCCTTATCAGCGATGGATTTACGTCGTGCCTTTAGCACATTTCTGAAAGAGAGAAAGACACACACACACACACACACACACACACACACAGAGAAAAAGAGAGAGAGAGAGAGAGAGAGAGAGAGAGAGAGAGAGAGAGAGACCTCTTTGCTTTCACTTGGCAGGATTACAAGTTTACTTGGACTGCAATACCCCAGGGATATACAGAGAGCCCCACCTATTGTCTTCAATACTAAAAACTGATTTGAATGGTGTTGAATGCTCTAATCCAATATGTAGAAGCCTTATTTTTATGCTCTAGGACGTATTAGACTCCCAAGAAGATGCAACATATTTATTGCACCAGCTAGCCATAAAAGGACATAAGGTCTCAAAAGATAAGCTTCAATTCTGCTTACCTGAAGTAAAATGCCCTGGCCCTCTCATATCTAAAGATGGGCTACTGATTAAACCCAAAAGACTCAGAGGAATCCCATCTTTCTCTCTCCAAAAACAAGAAAAGCAGCTCAGAGGAGGCCTGGATTTGACTAGATATTCTTGCAATTGGGTTCCAAATTTTTCATTAAAAAATTGGTCGTGGGCTTTTTGCAGGAGAAATTCCTGGGCGCCATACACCCAGAGACAAGCCGGCACCCAGACTTGCCGGCAGTCATGGTGGGGGGAGAGGTGCAGCTCTATGTGTCCTATTGAAGCCAACCTGCCTGATCCAATTCAGTGGAACGAGGAAGGGAAACAAGTTGTAAGATCTCTAAATAATCATCTATAGCTCCTGCTCTGGGTCACCTTAAGTATAAACTTTCTAACTTTTTATACATAAAAATAAAGGAAATACTTGGAAAATTTTAACTCAAAAACACTGAGTTTATCATATGTACTTTACTGAAAGCCCTGGAATAACAAAAGAAACAAATACAGAGAAATGCATGAAATTTGCTAACCTACCTACAGCTTCTGCTCCTGGTTCACACGGACACTGCCCTTCCAGCTTCCAGTCAGTCTCCATGTGGCAGAGACCATACTTTTCATTATATATGTTTGAAAAAGTAAATACGCTTATTGAAAATACATAGGGTTGAGATTAAAACTTACAAAGTCTCCCTCTTATTCCTGTCCAACCCCCCCCCCAGCTCCCCTCCTCTAAGGCTCCAACATTATTGGTTGCTTATGTACTCTTCTAGGAATATTCAATTGCATACATTACACACACGCACACACACACACACATCTATGCTAACATACTGTGTGCACTTTTAAAGAAAAATCCTCACTCAAGGATGTTTTTCCATTGATTTTTGGAGACAGTGGAAGGGAGAAGGAAAGACAGAGAAGTATCGATGCCAGAGAAACACATCGATAGGTTGCCTCCTATACGAGCCCGACCTGGGCCCAGCCAGGAGGAGCCTGCAACCGAGGTACATGCCCTTGGCTGGAATCGAACCTGGGACCCTTTGGTCTGCAGGCCAATGCTCTATCCACTGAGCAAACCAGCTAGGGCTTATGCACTTTCTTTACATAACAATATATCTTGTAGATTTTCCACATCACTGTCTTTTTTTGGCTACCAGGTATTTCATTGTATTGTACCACAATTTATTTTTTTTATTTTTTATTTTTATTTTCTTTTATTATTTTTATAATTTCATCTTCAAAATAAAAATTTATTCAGTCTGTAACAAGAACATTGAATCTGCACATTTGCGCACAAGTTCACATTTAAAAACAGCGGAGCACATCAGTAATAAAAAAATCTATGATACAAGTGGAACATCCCAATCACTATGAAGATTAAGGAAGGAGATGAGACCACTCTTTATATTCTGCTTCAAATGCCTCAAAAAGGTCCCAGAGATTCCAGGGAGCACCTGCTTCATTTAATAAAATGTGAGCATAAAAGTTTGGGGTGGCCTGGGGCAAAGGTAACAAAGTCTATTGGACTAGTTTTCCACATTTATAACAAGCCCTACAAAATAATGTAGAGAGAAAGAAAAAAGAAAAAGAAAGAAAAGAAAGGCACCTTAAGCTATACCAAGCAAACCAAGTCCAATAAAACATAAAAACCAACTCCCTGTGGCCTTATTGACTGGGAAACATTTCAGGGCATTCCCCAGTTTACCGGCTGGGTCACCAGCTCGCGCGAAGCCCTGGGCATTAGCTCTGCATGTGTATACAGGATGCTGCCGCCAGTGTCGTGGTGAGGACACAGATAGTCATATACCCCTTGGGGCCTGTTCAAGCCCACGGGGGGTGATTCCAGTTTAGAAATCCTGCCCTAGAACTCGGGGCACTGAGAAAATGAGGCTGGTTCTCTTTCCACAGCAGGAGCCAGGCTGAGTCACCCTCCACTCCAGGCTGGAGGAGTACAGAAGCACCTTGCGAGAGCTCTCCATGGCAACCAGGGACCCCAAGCCCGGGAGAAGGGTTAGGGGTGTGCAGCTGCCTGCGTTGGCAGCAGGCTTTTTCTTAATATGGGGACCGGATGAGTTGAGACACCAAATACAGTTGTCTATACATGCCTTGTTCTTTTAGGTTGAAGGGGAAAACAAAGTCCAAGAGCCTCTTAAGTTGGATTGGTGACGAAAGAGCTAAAATTTCATCTCATCTACCATCCAAAAGCAAAACAAAATTAAACAAAAATGACACTAGCCATTCACCAGTACAACCATCACTGTAAGACACACCATCACTGAGGAGATGACGACTATTTCCGTACAGGGTGTTGGGCGGGAGTGCAGGACACAGATGGAAGTCAGCTCCAGGTTTTCCCCGCTCACCCGTGCGGGCTCACCATTACAGCGGTGCTCTGTGTGAGGGCTCACAGGACAGCCAGATTTGGGTCCCTGGAGGAGGACACTGAGCTGCCATCAAGATGATGCACGTTTTAATACTCACACAATGTAAACAAAGTATCCACAAATAGTTGTAAAAAAAAAAAAAAAAAAAGCCAAAGAATGGCTTTATTTAAAAATGCCCTTAAAAGTGAACCATTTTGCATAATGCTTTCTTAAAAAAACAAAACACTCCCACAAAAACATCTTTACCAAACATGCCTAGATCACTTCAGAACTGAATCCTCAGAAGGAACAGGTGAAGATTTCTGTGAGCTGCCACGTCTCAGAAGCTTCAGGTCTATCCAACAGCATCTGTCTGCGGCCCTTTATCAGGAGGGGACCTCAGAACCTAGGCTGTCCTCCTCATGCTGTCCTTGGAGCTCTTGGTAATTCCCAAGATGAGAGAGAGGAGATACGGTAGGGATAAAGGTAGAGAACCAGGATAATGCTAGATAAAGAGTTGGAAGAGGCGAGATGCTAGGAATGATCCCAAACATTCAGAATCTCTTCAGTTTTGATGAGGGTCCTCCATTCCAGTCTCAATATGTTTTCTGGAAGAGGCTGGTTTATGGCAGGTGCTGCTGTCCTAAGATCTCCACAGCGGCAGCAAAGCAGCGGTATCCTAAATGGACTCTGTAAGGCGCCTGCCCTTGGCGGAGGCCACCCTGCAGCCTCTCAGCCTAGTCCATGAGGAGCTTCCCCCTTTGACTGTTCCTCATCTATTGACGATTCTTCGGATGCATGGGGAGTGTTACTCAAAGAGCTGCTTCTCTGGTCCTCAGCTGTCACTTCAGAAGGGGTTACTTCTACCACTGACAGTCGACAGCTTTCACTCCTTCCTCCACCCAGTTCCTCCATCCTTGAGTGGGAAAAAGATCGTGACCGGGTTTCTTGAGAAAGCTCTACAAACTTCTCCAGGGCACTAAAAAAATCAATGCGATCTGTACTAAAATCTGAGACTTCAGCCTGGCAACTGGGTTGGGGGCTTGGTGACTCAGGATCAGGGGACATGGGGAGGTCTTTCAGGTGAGATGTCAATTCTTCCATTGGCAGTAAGTGGACGTTCATGTCTGCTTTCAGTGCATCTGTCTCCAAATCTTCAACTGTTAAGTCTGAGAACTTGTTGGGCATTTCTGGGGCCTGTCCAGGTTGGATTAAGGCTTTGGATCCATGGCAGTTGTCAAGGGGGAATTTTGATTCATTGAGACAACACCCTGATGTACATCCATTGATGTCATTTAGGTTTAATTCATCTTCAATCTGTCCGGCATGAAATTCCCTAGAAGTAAACTCCAAGCAGATCACTCTTTCTTTGGTACACAGGCCTTTCTGATTTTCATCTTGTGGGACAACATGTTCCACAAAGACAGGAGGTATAGATGGGTGACCTTCCATGGTCTTTACTTCGGCAATCTGGTCTGCTGAGGTGGTGATCTCCTTCTTGTTGAGTTCTAGCCCTGGCTTGCAGATGGGTTCATGGTGGTCTGAGAGGTCGCTATCTGAATGAGATCTCCAGAGCTTGTTATGCCGCTGTTTGCTTGCCAGCAGAATCCCCTGGTACTCTTCCAGTTGTCTCATGAAGCTGGGGTTGGGCTTAGTCACTGTTCGTCTTTCCTTCACATAGTCATAGGCTCGGTCCAGATTCCAGCCATATTCCTTCATTGCATAGGCAATCACAGTGGAGGCTGAGCGACTCACCCCCATTTTGCAGTGCACAAGGCATTTAGATCCATGTTTCTTTGCTTTAGAGATGAATTTGTAAGTGTCATTCCAGTAAGCCAGGAGATCCGTTGCCTCTTCATCATATACCCGAATGTTATGATATTCGAAGACTCCTGGGAAGAAGTTATCTATCTCTCGAGTGACATTCAAAATATACCGCACCCCTCGGTTTTGTAAATCCTCTAAGTTAGAGGCATTCCATTCGGAGCCCAAGAACACATGCTCAAATATCTGTGTAGGACTGTCCATCTGACCAAGAATCACTATCATTTCATTATCTATAAATTCCTTGAATTCTCTCAGGTTGCAAACCATTTGCATTTCCAATTCAGTTCGTATCTCTTTGGATGTGATATTCTCCAAATCCTTCTGCATCATAATCTCCCTTAATTTGGTTTTAATTAGTCTTTCTGTTCGCTCACGTTCAGTTGGTATGTCAGTGAAGAGAGCTGGAGAGTCAGGCCGGTGGGACTGTACATCTTGCATGGCATTCCATTCGTTGACTGATGATTGATCTGAGTTGATGTGGCTCTCATAATAACTCACCCAGGTGAGAAACAGGCTGCCCGGGTAGTAGTTATGCATTCTGGCCACTTCACAAGCCTTGTGTAAACTCTGTAGTGCAGACCACATTGCCTGCACAGATACAGGTTTGAATATGTGGATTCTGTTATCTGTTGATACGCTGAACCCTCCATCACCATCCAAATGAATCAGGGTGTCACTCCAGAGAGGCAGGACTAGGCCCATGGTACAAGTGCTGTCATTAGAAGAGAAATCCATTCCTAGAACGATGCTTTCTTCAGTGTCTTGTCTACCATTGGTTGAAACCACTACCATATAACGTGTTCGATTCTGGTAAGCACTTTCTAGTCTTACAGCCAGCCTGATGTTGTCTTCTGGGCGGAGTAATATGAACATTGCTTGGAGATGCTGTTGGAGATCACCTGCATGCTTGTTGCGTCTGTGGCTGATTCTTGGAGTGGATGAGCCATTTCCCCGTGGTAGAAAAAGGGCAGCACCTTTGACAGTTAGAAAGCTCTCGCTGATGAGATGTGTACAAATTCAAAGTCGATCCAGTTGACCTTGTTTGATGCCACTTTGATAGGAACTCTCCAGTTTTATGACTCCTGATCTAGGGCCTTTCCCACCAATCGGTGAGGCCTTCATGAGTTTAAGCCTTTAAGCCTTTATCATGTGCCTAACAACTCACTGAGCAGTGCCTTTCACCTGACTAGGGACCAGCTCTTTCTAAAACGAGAATCTCTTCTCTCTCTCCTATATATTATGTAGTAGCTTACAAAAGAGGCTGGCCCCAGGGAGGCACTCAATAAAAGTTAGCTCCCTTATCTCTCCTCCTCCTAATCTCATCAGGACAAATATTTTTAGGCACCAGTATGTTTAGCTTTTCTGAATACTTGATTAAAATGTATATCATTAAAGCTGCCTTAGCGATTCCAGAGCCAAAAATTAATTAAAAAAACCCCCAAACAATTTCACTATCCAATTATAGGAGAAAAGAGACTAAAATTTAAAAAAAAAGTCATCATAAGACTCAACATATGCTAAAATCAAGAAGAACTGTGTCTTTTTAAATATAAACTTTCAGATCTCTTTTCCTATTGGGAAGTTTGGCAATTTTCAATATACTAGTAATGAAATAATCTAAACTATAAATTCAGTGTCTAAAACCAGAATTATTCTTCTGTTAGTTGATCCTTCCATAAAACTTGTTACCAAGGCACTGAGGAACTAGAAATATGGCAAACTCATACTGAAAATAGATATTGGAAATAGATATATAAGTTTTCTACAGATCCGGTCATAGGAAGGAACCAATTGGCAAGTGAAGAGTTAGTGAAAGGTCTGGATCTTAGAGTCCAGTGCATCATTATCTTCATCCATCTCTAGGAAGGAAAATGTTTGAAAGATTTGTTCTGGCTGCGTCAGCATGCACCCAAATGCAGTGTAAGAAAAAAAAATCTGCTGATACATCCCAAAATAAATTGCTTTAAATATCTGGCAAACTTGCCAGTTTAAAAACTTCTTCCAAGCTGTAATTTATTACAACCTCCTGCAGTGATTAAAAAAAAAAAAAAGCAGCAGGCTGTTTACTAGTAAACAGAACTATTAAGGTGATGGGTCCAGTTCCTTTCATGACACAGCAGAGATGAGATTTTACTGAAGTCAACATTAAATGATGTCTTTTAGGAAAGATGATGGCACGGTAATCATCTGAATCTGTCTTAAAAAGAAGTCAGTAGGCCCAGTCAGTGTTGCTCAGTGACTGAGCTTTGGCACCCTATTGATTCCTGGTCAGAGCACAGTGGAATCTAACCAGTAAACTCTTCAGTACACGGGAGCATGCCCAACTAACTGATCGATCTCTCATGGATGCTTCTCCCGTTGTTTCTCTCGCTCTCTAAAATCAATAAAAACATATTAAAAAGAAAGTCAGCAGGAAATGTACCTTACTCAATTCACACTTAATATCCCTCACATTTAAAAATGCTAGCGATAAAGATTTCATAAATATGTATAGTTGTCTTTTATAAATAGGTTCCTATAGTGACACCTCAGAAGTGCATAGTCCTTTGTTTTCCCTCAAAAGACCTCTGTCAGTGCCTGTTCAGCTAAGGAGACTATTTTAACTCCCTCATCCAGGCTTTTTCAAAAGCTTTTCAAGTTAAATTCTTGCTTTGAACTGTAATATAAGAAATTGGAAAAGTGCTAGAACATGCCTCTCAGTTTTTTAGGAAAATAATTAAATCATCTTTGCAAACTGAGATACCTTTAAGGAAATATTCTTTCTACTGCTGCCTGTTTTAAAAAGTTGAAAAAATTTCCATTATTTTCACACTCTTTACAATGTCAAAATGTCAATCAATTTAGTTTCAGCTCAATTTAATTCTTTACTCTCCACTGTCAGGAAACAAGGCTCTAGGGAGCAAGATCTCTGTACCCTAGCATCTAGGACTTAAAAAAAATGATTCCAAATTAGATTGAGCAGCATGAAATAAACTAAGCTAGTTTTCTACTCCCCATGAAGTCAGAAGGAGCTTTCTCTAAAAAAAATTTGCACAAAGTTTCCTGAAGAAAAATTGCTGCATTTTTTTTACACTGTTGCTTGAGTTGGTTTTGAAATTAATTTTGTCATGTCATTTGCTGACCACTTCAAGGCTCAGAAACATGAATATTTTAAAGTGTTAATTTGGCTCTTGACACCATTAGCTATGACCAAATAAAATTTTTATAGAATTACATGTTAAACCATTAAAATATTTTAAAATATTTTTAAAATTGATTTTTAGAGAGAGAGATGGAGGGAGAGAGACAGAGAGAGAGAGAGAGAGAGAGAGAGAGAGAGAGAGGAACATTGATGAGAGAACGAAACATTCCACAATTTATTTTCTACTAGAGGCCCAGTGCATGGAATTTGTGCACTGGTACGGTCCCTCGCAGCTGCCAGCTGCCAGCCGGAGCCTCCCTCCCTTCCTCCAGCTGGCCCGCTCCCTGGCCGAACTCCTGGAAGAACTCTGGTCGAGGGGACAATTTGCATAATACGCTTTTATTATTTAGGATTCTCTTGTTGAGAGGCAGTCATATTATTGCCAATATTTTGCTGTTAAAAACACTATAAGAGTGCCAGTATTCAACTAGAATGTCACACTAGCGTGTTTCTCAGGAAGATATATTCCTAGAAGCGACATTGTTGGGTTTGACCATCTGCGTTCACACTTCTGTGGGCCGTGGGCCTTTTGCAGGGAAACTCCTGGGCACTATACACCCAGAGACAAACCGGCACCCAGACTTGCCGGCAGTCACAGTGGGTTAGAGGTACAGGAGCGCGGCCTGGAGAAGAGGCAGTGCGCGCTGGGTGGTGGGCGAGGATGGCAGACAAGGGCCTGGCGGGCCTGGAGAAAATGGACGTTGAGTTCTTCTTAAGGGCAAACACCAGAGTTATTTTCACTGTAAAACTGATTTTATCCAGATATTGGCTAAAACAAGAACTGAACTATTTGCTGAATCTTACCCATCAGGAACTTCAGTTTCCTGGGAGAAATTTAATTTCCTGGCCGCGGCTCGGGCCCTGTCACTGCTACATAAACTCTTGAAAATTTTAAAACCATTGTTTTATTCAGAAAAGATCTCCAGCTCAGACTCATGCCACGTTAGATTGGTCTTCTCCCTCAGCTGGAAGTAAAGAAAAGGGAGCTCATGATTTAGCTGCTTCCACTGCAGTTCTCAGAAGTGGCCCCAAGAGGGCACTAGAGAGATTCTTCCAGGTTTAAAGGCCACTGTGCTCCCAGCTGCCTCCACACCCACATCCTGCCCCAGCTACCTGGCCTTCTCCTGAGCTTCTGAAGCACCTAATTATTAGTAGAGCTTGATGTCAGCAAAGAAGCCCAAAACGGGAAAGGAACAGACTGGAAGCAAGCCACGGACAAAATCATGCCAAGGAGTAGAGCAATGCCACCAGCGCGTCCCAGGTGGGGCTGCCCATGCACGCGGCCAGCTCTGGCCACAGCTCCTGCCGGCACCCTGGGCGCAGGGGCTGCGCCCACAGACACTTCCCCACTCCCTGACCAGGGGCTGTGCCCAAAGACACTGTCCTGCTTCCTGACCAGGGGCTGTGCCCACAGACACTGTCCTGCCCTGACCAGGGGCTGTGCCCACAGACACTGTCCTGCCCTGACCAGGGGCTGTGCCCACAGACACTGTCCTGCCCTGACCAGGGGCTGTGCCCACAGACACTGTCCTGCTCCCTGACCAGGGGCTGTGCCCACAGACACTGTCCTGCCCTGACCAGGGGCTGTGCCCACAGACACTGTCCTATCCCCTGAGTGTGTGCTGTGCCTGAGTGTGCCGTGGCTGAGTGTGCTATGGCTGAGTGTGCCGTGGCTGAGTGTGCCATGGCTGAGTGTGCCATGGCTGAGTGTGCTATGGCTGAGTGTGCCGTGACTGAGTGTGCTATGGCTGAGTGTGCTATGGCTGAGTGTGCCGTGACTGAGTGTGCCATGGCTGAGTGTGCTGTGCCTGAGTGTGCCGTGACTGAGTGTGCCATGGCTGAGTGTGCTGTGCCTGAGTGTGCCATGGCTGAGTGTGCTATGGCTGAGTGTGCCGTGGCTGAGTGTGCCATGGCTGAGTGTGCTGTGGCTGAGTGTGCCGTGACTGAGTGTGCCATGGCTGAGTGTGCTGTGCCTGAGTGTGCCATGGCTGAGTGTGCTATGGCTGAGTGTGCCGTGGCTGAGTGTGCCATGACTGAGTGTGCTGTGGCTGAGTGTGCCGTGGCTGAGTGTGCCATGAATGAGTGTGCCCTGGCTGAGTGTGCCGTGGCTGAGTGTGCCGTGACTGAGTGTGCCATGGCTGAGTGTGCTATGGCTGAGTGTGCCGTGACTGAGTGTGCCATGGCTGAGTGTGCTGTGCCTGAGTGTGCCGTGACTGAGTGTGCCATGGCTGAGTGTGCAGTGCCTGAGTGTGCCATGGCTGAGTGTGCTATGGCTGAGTGTGCCGTGGCTGAGTGTGCCATGGCTGAGTGTGCAGTGGCTGAGTGTGCCGTGGCTGAGTGTGCCATGACTGAGTGTGCCCTGGCTGAGTGTGCTGTGGCTGAGTGTGCCATGGCTGAGTGTGCCATGACTGAGTGTGCCGTGGCTGAGTGTGCCGTGGCTGAGTGTGCCGTGACTGAGTGTGCCATGGCTGAGTGTGCTATGGCTGAGTGTGCCGTGGCTGAGTGTGCCCTGGCTGAGTGTGCCGTGGCTGAGTGTGCCATGGCTGAGTGTGCCATGACTGAGTGTGCTGTGGCTGAGTGTGCCCTGGCTGAGTGTGCCGTGACTGAGTGTGCCCTGGCTGAGTGTGCCGTGGCTGAGTGTGCCATGACTGAGTGTGCCCTGGCTGAGTGTGCCCTGGCTGAGTGTGCCGTGGCTGAGTGTGCCGTGACTGAGTGTGCCATGGCTGAGTGTGCTATGGCTGAGTGTGCCGTGCCTGAGTGTGCCATGGCTGAGTGTGCTGTGCCTGAGTGTGCCGTGGCTGAGTGTGCCATGACTGAGTGTGCCCTG